AGCAACCTCCAACTCCTGGGCTCAAGCGATTCTCCTGCCTCTGCCTCCCAAATAGCTGGGACTACAGGTGCCCGCCACAATGCCTGGCTATTTTTTTTTTTTTTTGGTTGCAGCCATCGTTGTTTGGCCGGCCTGAGCTGGATTTGAACCCACCAGCTCAGGTACATGTGGCTGGAGCCACAGGTGCCGAGTCTAGGTTGATTTTCCTAAGCTCACAGGTTCGAGACCAGCCTGATCAAGAGCCCACCTCTAAAAATAAGCTGGACATTGTGGCAGGCGCCTATAGTCCCAGCTACTTGGGAGGCTGAGTCAAGAGAATAGCTTAAGGCCAAGAGTTTGAGGTTGCTGTGAGCTGTGACGCCACAGCACCCCACCAAGGGTGAGAAAGTGAGACTCTGGCTTTTATAAAAAAAAAAAAAAAAAAATTTTTTTTTTTTTTTTTTTTTTTTGAAACAGAGCCTCAAGCTGTTGCCCTGTGTAGCAAAAGAAATCCCCACATTTCAACTCAGTAAGAATTCGGTTAAGGCTAGACATGGTGGTGCTATGAGCTGGGATGCCACTGGTACTTAGCTGCTTGAACTACAGGCACTAAGCCTAAAAAAAAAAAAAAAAATTATTTTTAAGTTAAATTAGTTGTCAGTGTCACTTCTTCAAAATTTATATGGATGATTTTTTTAATGGTGAGAAGGCACAAAATATTACATGTCTCACGTAAAGAATACCAAGAACAGAACTCTGTCTATTCAAACTTTTTTTTTTTTTTTGAGACATAATCTCACTATGTCACCCTGGGTAGAGTGCCCTGGCATCACAGCTCACAGCAACCTCAAACTCTTGGGATTAACCAATTCTCTTGCCTCCGTCTCCCAAGTTGCTGGGACTACAGGTGCCTGCCACAAACAATACCTGGCTATTTTTTTGCTGTAGTTGTTATAGTTGTTTAGCAGGCCAGGGCCAGATTCAAACCCACCAGACTTGGTGTATGTGGCCAGCACCATAACCACTGGGTTACAGGGACCAAGCTATTCAAACTTTTTAATTGGAACCAGAAAAAGAGCCATCTTTAATCAGGTTTCCTGATGAAACCTACAATTTATCATCAAGAAATTCATTTCAGGATATGTATTAAAAACCTTGTAGATGTAGAGTATATTTGAACACAGCTTTATTGTGGCTACTTGGTTTTTTGGGGTTTTTTTGAGACAGAGCCTCAAGCTGTCACCCTGGGTAGAGTGCTGTGGCATCACACTTCACAGCAACCTCCAACTCCTGGGCTTTTCTCTTGCCTCAGCCTCCCAAGTAGCTGGGACTACAGGCATCCACAACAACACCTGGCTATTTTTTGGTTGTAGTTGTCATTGTTGTTTGGCGGCCCGGGCTAGATTTGAACCCGCCAGCTCTGGTGTATGTGGCTGGTGCCTTAGCTGCTTGAGCTACAGGCGCCCAACCGGCTAGCTGGTTTTCAAAGTGAAAATACTGACTTCTTTAATTTTTTTCATAATTTTACAAGATTAATTTATAAGACATGGCTGGACCCACTCGCTCACACATGTAATTCTAGCACGCCAAGAAGCTAAGGTGGTGGATTGCTTGAGCTTTGGAGTTTGAAACCAGCCTGAAGAGTGACACCTGTCTCTACTAAAAATAGTAAAACTGGTGGCGCCAACAGCTCAGTGGGTAGGGTGCCAGCCACATACACTGAGGCTGGCAGGTTCAAACATGGCCTGGGCCAGCAAAAACAACAACTGCAACAAAAAAATAGCTGGGCATTGTGGCAGACGCCAGTAGTCCCAGCTACTTGGGAGGCTGAGGCAAGAGGATCACTTGAGCCCAAGAGTTTGTGGTTATTGTGAGCTATGACACAGGGGACTTTACCAAGGGCAACAAAGTAAAACTGTCTCAAAAAAAAAAAAAATTACAAGACAGCATGTTCCACTTGTCATTCATGTCTTTCCTATTTGAATTCAAACTAAAACTCTATGGTCAGGGAAGAGATTAATAACCAAAAGATGAAGGAAATAAAAAAATAATCAAGTGACTAGTTTCTGGTAGGGGTAAGAAAAAGGTAGAGAATGCTGGGTGAGGTGGCTCGCAACTGTAATCCTAGCACTCTGAGAGGCAGAGGCAGATGCATTGCTTGAGCGTAGAAGTTAAGAGACCAGCCTAGCAAGAGCAAGACCCTGTCTCTAAAACTAGCCAGCTGATGTGGCAGACACCTGTAGTTCTAGGTATGAGGGACGCTGAGGCAAGAGGATCACTTGTGTCCAAGAGTTTCAGGTTGCTGTGAGCTATGACACCAGGGCACTCAACCAAGGGCAACAAAGTGAGACTAAACTCTGTCTCAAAAAAAAAAAAAAAAGAAAGAAAGAAAGAAATAGGTAGAGAAGATTGGCTCCCAAACTAAACACACAAATGAACCTCAAACACTCCTCTAACTGTCAAAGTGCCCAGTATAATAAGCAAGGACCTGTTGCTACAAAGCATCAGAGATGAAAAACACATAATATGCCTGTGGCGACATCTGTAAAGAGATGTGAATGAGTTAATGTGGAAATAACCTTCACACGGAGCCAAATGGGAAATGCTTTTAAATGTACAGACACACTATTACTGAATTTCAAAAGAGGAAAAGTTCATAATTAGTTTCAGGGAAATTATTGAAAAAGTGACAGTAAATGCTGGCATTTAAGAAAGAAGAGAAGGTCATTTGGAGTTAAGGCAGGGAGATGTTCTAATCTAAATCAAGATTCAAACTTCCTTCAACACTCTCACCTTCTGGAAAACTGGTTTGGGGGATATTGGAACCAGTGTACAATTCTGGACATATTTCTGCCAATTTCCATTGACACTATTATAAGTGCTGGAGAGATGAATGCTGTGGCTCATGCCTGTAATCTCACCAATTTGGGGGACTGATGCAGGAGGACTGTTTGAGGCCAAGAATTCAAGATTAGCCTGGGCAACATAGTGAGATCCCCATCTCTACAAAAAATAGAAAAATGAGCCAGGGATGATGGCCTGTGTCTACACTCTCAGCTACACAGGAGACTGTAAGAGGAGAATCACTTGAGCCTAGAAGTTTAAAGTTGCAGTGAGCTAGGATGATGCCACTGCACTTTAGCCAGGGCAACAGAGTAAGACCCTATCTCAAAATACAAAAATGTGCAGGGATACAGCAGTGAACAAAATAGACAAAAACTGCCCCATGCAGCTTCCATTTTACACTTGTAATCCCCTTGCAACCAAGGAGCACATCTTTCTTCCTCTTTCTCAAAACATACCTGTTCTTTTTCTTTAGAAACCTGATGATAATTATCTATGCTTTGATGTTCAAATCATACATTTTTGAGCCACTACTATGCAACAGAGTATGCCTACTGTTTCAATTACTCAGGAGGCGGAGGCTAAAGGCTCCCTTTAGCCCAGAAATTTGAGACCAACCAGCCTGGGCAATACAACAAGAACACATCTCCAAAAAAATTTTTTTTTAGATTTTTAGCTGGATAGCTGTGGGCATGGTCTTATAATAAAATAAAACAAATATTGTTTTTCAACTTGCCAGAGATGAATAGGCAGGGTCCTATAATACAGTGAGCAGGATAAACAGAGCTAAAAATACTAAGGGAATCATTTAAATTGGAGTGTAGGGCCAGGAGCAGTGGCTCATGCCTGTAATCCCAGCACTCTGAGGAGGCCGAGGTAGGTTGGGTTGCTTGAGCTCATAGGCTGGAGACCAGCCTGAAGAGTGACACCCAGTCTCTAAAAACATCTGGGCGGGCTCGGGGCCTGTGGCTCAAGCGGCTAAGGCGCCAGTGACATACACCTGAGCTGGCTGGTTCGAATCCAGCCTGGGCCCGCCAAACAACAATGACAGCTGCAACCAAAAAAAAAAAAAAATAGCCGGGCATTGTGGTGGGCACCTGTGGTCCCAGCTACTTGGGAGACTGAGGCAAGAGGATCGCTTGAGCCCAAGAGTTTCTGGTTGCTGTAAGCTGTGATGCCATGGCACTCTACCAGGGGCAAGAAAACGAGGCTCAGTCTCAATAAACAAACAAACCAACGAACTGGAGTGTAGAACTTTAGAAAATCTGAGTAAAGTTCCACAGACAAGTTACTGCTGAATCAGTCGGGTTGAATTCAAAGGATGAGATTCAGCACATTTTAATAATATACAATAGCACTGTGACATTCCAGGAAACTGCTGGTTAATATCATAGGGATCTAATCATTTGACACTTGGATATGTTTACGCACAACTCTGCATTATTGTTTTATGTCATTATTCAAACCTCTCTACTGGAAGGAAGTGCAAGCACATTTTAGATTCACTAGGGTGGTCTCCGATCACTTTAGGCTAAAAGTGCCCTTGGCCCCATTGTCCCTGATTCAGTAAGAAACATTCACAGAAGTTGAGAGCTCCCATCACCCCGAATTCTTGAGCTCTATCATCACCATGGAAGGTAGGATCAGAATCTAAAACTCACACACATTCCGCCTCCTGGACTTCGTGCCCCTCCAGAAAGTGGCTCCCAGGGGGAATTGGCCTCCACCTCCTCTCACAAATTGGCTCCCCCTAGTTGAATCCCGCCCCCTCCTTCCCCATCAGTCACTTACCCTCAGTTTCCCCCTGAGCTTTCATCCTGCAGGCGGAGCGGGCCTGGGTCCACGACACCAGGGTAAGCCCTTCCCCAACACTAATGGGGGAAACAAGTTAGCTCGGGCTTCCAGAACTCAAGGCACCAACCGTCCACCCTCTCGAGAAAGGATCAGTCTGAAGTCCCCGGCGGCAAGAATATAAAGGTGCTCGAGGCCGCCGCCATGTTCCCCAACGGAACTTCCCAAAGATCGCGAGATTAACCGTAATCCTGCGAGATAGAGGAAGAGGGCAGGGCGTGTAGATCTCGCGAAAATTGGAAATGCGTGATTCACGCGAGATTTCCTCTAACACAGCCCTTCCCTTAGCTCTTAGCTGGGCCTGGTCTCTGCTGTTGTCTATTGGATTAGAGATCAGGTAGCTTTTGGTTGATCTGGGAGAACTGGCGTTTTGTTCTTGTTGTTGTCGTAACTCTAGCAGTTAAACAACTCGGGATTTAAAATCTCCAGATCTCATGCCCAAAGCGAGTGGATTGCTTGAGCTCAGGAATCCAAGACCAACCTAAACAAGAGCGAGATCCCTAGTTTCTACCAAAACTAGAAAAATTAGCCGTGCATGATGGCAGGCGCCTGTGTAGTCCCAGCTACTCCGGAGGCTGAGGCAAGAGGGTCACTTGAGTCCAAGAGTTTAAGGTTGCCGTGAGCTATATGACGCCTTGGCACTCAACCGAGGGTCACAAAGTGAGATTCTGCCTCAAAAAAATAAAATGCCCAGATCTCTTTGTTGAAAGACTACTTTTTCAACGAATATTGGTTTTATCAACAAAACCAATTACCTCTGATGCAAGAATATTTTATGAATTGTAGTAAGTTTTCCCTGAGATACTGGACAGAACAAACATGTCAGCCGGGCGTTGTGGAGGGTGCCTGTAGTCCCAGCTACAAGGGAGGCTGAGGCAAGAGGATCGCTTGAGCCCACTAGTTAAAGGTTGCTGTGACGCCATGGCACACTAACCAGAACTATTTATTTTTTTGAGACAGAGTCTCACTTGGTCACCCTTGGAGTGCCTAATAGCAAACCTTTTTTTTTTTTTTTTTGAGTGATTTTTTGGCCGGGGCTAGGTTTGAACCCGCCAACTCTGACATATGGGGCCTGCGTCCTACTCCTTTGAGCCACAGGCGCCGCCCATCTAATAGCAAACCTTAAGTTTGAGGTTCAAGTGTTCCTCTTGCCTCAGCCTCCCAACTAGCTGGGACTACAAGCGCTCGCCACAACGCCCAGGTATTTTTTAGAGAAGGGGTCTTTCTCTGGGTCAGGCTGGTCTTGAACCTGAGAAGTCAGGCAATCCACCCACCTAGGCCTCCCAAGTGCTGGATTACAGGCGTGAGCCGCCAAGCTTGGTTCTAACCAGGACTATAAAGTGAGAATCTATCTTAAGGAAAAAAAAAAAAAAAGGCTCGTGCCTGTAGCTCAAGCAGCTAAGTCACCAGCCACATACACTTGAGCTGGCAGGTTCGAATCCAGCCCGGCCCGCCAAACAACAATGACAACTATAACCAAAAAATAGCCAGGCATTCTGGCAGGTGCCTGTAGTCCCAGCTACTTGGGAGACTGAGGCAAGAGAATCACTTAAGCCCAGGAGTTGGAGGTTGCTGTGAGGGACCCAGGGCAACAGCTTGAGGCTCTGTCTTAAAAAAATACAAAACTGTCGTGAGGAAGAAGCTGGCACTTTGTTGTTTTTTTTTTTTTTTTGAGACGGAGCCTCAAGCTATCCCCCTGGGTAGAGTGCCATGGCATCACAGCTCACAGCAACCTCCAACTCCTGGGCTCAAGCGAGTCTCCTGCCTCAGCCTCCCAAGTAGCTGGGACTACAGGCGCCCGCCACAGCGCCGGCCATTTTTTGGTTGCAGCCATCATTGTTGTTTGGCGGGCCCGGGCTGGGGATTTGAACCCGCCACCTTAGGTGTATGTGGCTGGCGCCTTAGCCGATTGAGCCACAGGCGCCGAGCCGAAGCTGGCACTTTGTAATAAAAGGTTCAAAGCAAGCCAGCAAACTTAATTCCTATTTTCTGATTTTTTTATTTCAGAAATACTTTATTTCTTGAGCAGTTATGGAGTGTGCGCGTGTGCAGACATATATTTCTTAGGCTACTCAAGTGAAGCAGTAGCAATGGAGAAGGGACAGAGGTGGCGGGGCACAGTGGCTCACCCCTGTAATCCTAGCACTTTGGGAGGCCAACGCAGGTGGATTGCTTGAGCTCATGAGTTCAACACCAGCCTGAGCAAAAAAGCGAGACCCCGTCTTTACCAAAAAATAGAAAAACTGAGGCCAGAGGATTGCTTGAGCCAGAGTTGGAGGTTGCTGTGAGCTATGATGGCACGGCACTCTACCCAGGGCAACAGCTTGAGACTGTCTCAAAAAAAAAAAAAGAGAGAGAAGGAACAAAGGCAGTTACAATAATTTTGAAGCTCTGAAAGATTTTGGATTAAGGGAAACTTGTTTGATGCAGTCAAAGTATCTGATGCTCTTAATTATATTACATATAGTTGCTAGTGCTCTGTTTGTGTAGTCCTAGTAAAAACAAATTGCTCCTTTACACAGCAAATCACAAAGACTGTGAAGTCGTATCTGTTTTGTGTGTAAACCCTCACAGAGAAATTCAGAGCAATGCTAAGAAGTTCATGGCCCAGGCTAAAATAGGTAGTGTCACCCATGAGGGGAAGTTCTTAATATAGTTAACGCTTTTTTTTTTTTTTTTTTTTGAGACAAGAGTCTCACTTTGTTGCCCTTGGTACAGTGCCCTACCTCATAGCTCACAGCAGCCTCAAACTGTTGGGCTCAAGTGATCCTTTTGCCTCAGCCTCCCCAGTAGCTGGGACTACAGGCGCCTGCCACAACGCCTGGCTACTTTTTTAGAGCTAGTGTCTTACTCTTGCTTGGGCTAATCGCCAACTCCTGAGCTCAGGCAATCCACCCACCTTGGCTTCCCAGAGTGCTAGGATTACAGGCATGAGCCCCTGTGCCTGCCATCTGTACTATTTTTTTTTTAATGTTCTCTTCTAACACACATCTTAAAAATAACTAATTACCGGGTGGCACCTGTGGCTCAATGAGTAGGGTGCCGGCCCCATATACTGAGGGTGGTGGGTTCAAACCTGGCCCCGGCCAAACTACAGCAACAAAAAGAAAATAGCTGGTGTTGTGGCAGGTGCCTGTAGTCCCACCTACTTGGGAGGCTGAGGCAAGAGAATCACCTACTTCAGCCCAAGAGCTGGAGGTTGCTGTGAGCTGTGATGCCATAGCACTCTACTGAGGGCAACAAAGTAGACTCTGTCTCTAATAAACAAATAATAATAATAATTACCACTGAAAGGTTGAATATTACCTCGCTTGCTGCAAAAATACTAAACACTAGATTTCTATTAGCTCACTAGTCTCAGGTTTTTCTCACATTTCAAAAATATCATTGAAACATTCTCCAAAAAAAGGTAACAGGAACAGGAGAAAGAGGAGGAAAAGGAGAAATATAGCCCCCAAACCATTTCAACATACTGCAGTTCAGGTAAGCACACATAGCAAAGTTAATTAATTAATTAATTGGCTCAGCACCTGTAGCTCAGTGGCTAGGGCGCCATCCACATACACTGGAGCTGGCAGGGCCTGAGCCTGCCAAACAACAATGACAACTGCAACAAAACAAAACAAGTAGCCGAGCATTATGGCAGGCACCTGTAGTCTCAGCTACTTGGTAGTCTGAGGCATGAGAATCGCTTAAGTCCAAGAGTTCAAGGTTGCCGTGAGCTGTAATGCCACAGAACTCTATGGAGGACAACATAGTTTTTGAGACATTCTGTCTCAGAAAAATATATATATATATATTTATTTATTATTTATATTTTGACAGAAAGTCTTACTTTGTCACCCTCGGTAGAGTGCCCTGGCGTCATAGATCACAGCAACCTCGAACTCCTGGGCTCAAGCAATTCTTTTGCCTCAACCTCCTGAGTAGCTGGGACTATAGGTACCCACCACAAAGCCTGGTTATTTTTAGAGACGGAGGTCTGCTCTTGCTTAAGCTGGTCTCAAACCTTTGAGCTCAATCAATCCACCTGCCTCAGCCTGGCAGAGTGCGTGGATTACAGGCATGAGCCACCATGCCCAGCCTAGTAGAGTAAATTTAATAAGAACTAATCTTTGGGAACACCTAGGAAGATGTTTATTGCCACAAAGATATCTACAACATGCCCTTATGCCCTTGGAAGGAAGAATTCAAATTTTATTTCTTTATTCCTCTTTTTTTTTTTTTTGA